ACACAGCAGGGGAGCGGAGGAGGACACGATTATTAATGCAGTGTGTGTGTGTGTGTGTGTGTGTGTGTGTGTGTGTACCAGCTCTCTCTCTGGATGATATGAAGCACAGACGAGTCGTTTGCAGCGCCGCATGAATCCTCCGCTCAGAGAGACCAGCAGAGCCAGACCCAACAGGAACCCTGCAACACAAACCAGGACCTTTAAGACCAGTAGAGACGTCATAAGACTTTCACTTACTTTACTAAAAGAGTATTTGTGCAGTGTAGTGTTCGTACTGTTCGTAGGATTTCAATACTTCCTGCTCTGTGATGATGTCATATCCTGTTACCTAGGAGGAAGCAGGTGATGTAGTTCGGCTCTGACGGCTGCAGCAGACACTTCCTGCTGACCACGGTGACGTTTGCTCCCTGCAGGATGTTGAATGAGGCCACCAGGTCTCTGAAGATATCCGAGGCGTAGCCTGAGCCGTTCACCTGCACCGCCACCGTGACCGGAGCTGACATGAAGAGGTGTTACCGCGGTTACCGCCACTCTGACTGACATCATCCCGGCTCTAATTGGCTTTAGGAGTGTTCGCCTTACCTCTGGCCACGACGTCCCCCGTCACCTGGTGGTGCACCTGGTCCAGCGTCCAGAACACCAGGAAGTCCAGAGCCACCAGCAGGCCGCCCATCACCAGGTTCCTGAGGACCGAGACCACGCCCACCAGCACAGCCCGCCGCTCTCGGGCCGTTAGGTGAGATGACACTGTGGAACAAAGATAGATACACTTTATTGACGATACAGTTGTGGACACACATCGTTCATTCAAATTAGAGCGACTGCTTTCACCCAAAAGGGGGCGGGGCCATGAACACTCAGGTCTACTGACATGGTGTGATGTAGGTCTTGGCTTCTCTGCATGTGATTGGCAGGACTGAAGCTCCGCCCCCTGAAGCCACCTGTTGGTCAAGCTCTTCAAACAGAGTGCTGATGTATACGTTGTCAAAGTCGACCTCCTGGAGATACCTGCGTCTGTACCGCACTGCCCTGCACACACACGCACACACACGACACACACACACCAGCACCCCCTTTTTGAAATAATTCAAAAAATCTAAAGACGATTTCTTTTTTTGATTCTTACCACTTACCAAATCAATACATGATAACATTAGCATGTTGATTTAAGGGGTGTAAAACTTACAGTATAAACCGAAGTGTGTAGATGAAGTAAACTGAAGCGTGTGTATTAAGTAAACTGAAGCGTGCAGATGAAGTAAACTGAAGCGTGTATATTAAGTAAACTGAAGCATGTAGATGAGGTAAACCGTAGCGTGAGTCCTGACCTCAGGAAGGAGCAGGCAAGCAGAACGAGGCCGGCGTATGTGAGCGGTTCTCTCAGCTTCTCAAACACATGCAGCTCTGATGAAACCTCTTCCATGATGTCCTGAGACACCTGCTGCACAGAGTGGCTGCTGTTGGCGTCCAGGTCAAAGGTCATTGAGGCTGAGATATTGAACTCAAACTCCCGCTTCATTCGTTGAAACGCTGCAACGGTGGCTGTAGGAGGACAGACGGCTCAGCGGCAGGATCAAGGTTGTCAATGAACGTTAAAAACAAGAACTTACGAGCTGCCAGATGTTTCTTCAGATGTTCGGCGATGTAGGACGGGATGAGGCAGAAGAGCTCGCCAGCTGAAACACAAGCTTTGAAAATTAGAATTGAATACTAATTTCAAATATATTTAGATAATACTGTGACTGTAAGGAGCATTTCAATTATCAAATAATCCATCAGTGATTTGTTTGGTCTATGACCAGGAAGCGGATGTGTGAAATCAGCATACAGCCCCTTTAAAGGATGTCAGTGAACGCACCGCGGGCAAGGTTGCAGAGCGGCAGGAAACCGTCAACAATGTCACACAAGAAGTTGAACTCTCCCAGCAGGTCAGAGCAGTCGGCTTGAGCCTCGGCGAACACCTCCCGGCACTTCCTGTATGGAGAGCCCAGTTTGACGTTACACACGTCGCCGATGTCCACCAGGAAGTGGAGGACGTTCCTCAGAGTACGAGCTGCAGGGTCAGAGGTCAGAGGTGGATCACATGACTCTGGGTTCCATTTTTACACAAAATATTTGCTTTTATTTATTTGTTGTGATTAAAGATTGTATTTTATTCAGTGAGAATGACTCCATGACCTCCTCAAGACCCTTAAACCTCAGTTCATCCTATTCAAGGACCCCTAAAACATATTCTATGCCTCTGAGAAGTTTTTTGAGAACCTTCTCAAGGTCCATAGAACTTCCTGAAGAACTTTTAGAGATGGTAAAGAAAGTTGAGTGATGTTCAGGTTCTTCTTCTGCAGTGTCACTCACCAACATGACGGACGCTGTCAGTCAGAGCGCCAATGAGGTTCTGGACTCTTCCCGCCACAGAGAGAGCGTTACTGCTGATCTCTCTGATTCTGTCCAACACAGCTGTCCAACAAAATTACAGTTTCAGATTAATTTCATCAAAGTCAAATACCTCAGCACATTCGAAATCTCACTCTTACAGAAAAGGGGCGTGGCAGCTCTCTGCATCAGTTCCTGCGTCTGATTGGCTGCCAGCTCGGCTCCGCACAGCAGGCTGGCGGCTGCTCGCTCCGTGTTTTCTAGCGTATTGGCGAGCGGACCGGACAGCAGAACCGAGGCAAACAGGAAGAGGAGGAAATTCCTGCCGTGAGCTGAAACGCAAGAGAGAGGAGGAAGGACTGTGATTGGCCGGAGGAAGGACACACCCACACAAGAAGCCACACCCTGATCAGGAGTTTGTTTGACAGGTGATTGAAGACATTCACAGACTGACCTGAGCACAGCGAGGGCAGCATGACCATGACGTCGGCCCGGATGCCGGCTGACAGGCCCATGCCGAAGGCCGCCAGCACTGCCACCGCCAGTGTGGTGTACACGCACAACCACAGCGGCTGTTTCTGCAGGAAGAGAGCTGTGACTCCGTACAGAGACGCCAACAGCAGCCCGAAAACAAATGCCACGAGGCTCCGCCCCTCCTCTGACAGGTGGCCTTTAACCTTCCTCCAGCTGCTGCGGTGAGAGCGTCCTGCCGACCTGAGGATGCAAAGGTAAAGTTAGAAACCAAGTTAGCTAGCAAGTTACATCTTAAAGCTAATGTTAGGAAATGCTACATAACTAACGAGCTAATCTACCTCAATCAATAACTAACGAGTTACACCTGAAAGCAAATGTTATCAAAACTGATCGTTTTGCTAATAATAGTTGACTAGAAGATGTGACTATATATATAAATATGTCTTTTCAACATTAATATTAAAACTAGTGCAGAAACTAGTGCATAGCATATCTAAGTAAAGGAAAACCCACCCATCTAACTCTCCCTCTGATTGGCCTATCCTGACATTATTATCCTAATCCTAACCAGTCCTTCTCCTCATGTTTAAACCTAACCAACCAAACCAATGACAGCAATGAGTGCTGGCCAATCAGAGGCAGAGAAAGGTGGTTCAGGTCTTTGCCACCCTGCTAGCTAATAGCTGTGTGAACTCACCTGTTCAGAACTCCTCTGACAGCCTGTGTGACTCCGCCCTTCTTCACCTGGACTTTAACATCAGTTTCCATCCGGTGTCTCGTCCTTTTCTCACTCTTCATCCTTTATTTTTTGTGTCTGTGTCTGTTTATTCCCGTCTCCGTGGAGACCAGAGACAGCTGATGTCACTGAAGCTTCCAGAAGCTCCAACTGACTCCAACTGTTCAACAGCTTCAGCGGCTGTTCAGAGACAGTTTGAACGCATTATGACTCACCTGCACTCACCTTCAGCTCCTCACAGCAGTAAGTTCCCAAACTGTTACCAGACTGATTGTGCTTCTGAAGCTAAGCTAACACTAGCGGCTGTGTGTTTCAGCTGTGGAGAGGATCAGTTTGACCGTCCTGCCTCCTGCCATCCATCGATTCCTTTTCAGCCAATCAGAAGAGCCTCAGGTGGCTCACCTGGTCCTCAGGGCGCTGTTTGGAGCAGTGAGTGGGACAGGTATGGAGGATCAATGAGTAACAGTAACAAACAGTTCTTCACTAACAGACTGTTAGCCTGTTAGCACCGTTAGCATTGTTAGCACCGTTAGCATTCTCGATTGTTGTTTTTTAGATTGTTTTGTTTTGAAATTTGTATTTATTTTTATTTTAACTATAAAGGATTTTAAATGAATTGTTTCTATTATTCTAAAATGTTTAATGTTTTATTTAATTTTGAATTATACTTATTTATAATTACTTACTTAATAAAATATTTAGTTTTATTACAGATATTGTTTATTTTATCAAATCGTTTTTATTTTATTTCTCCTCCTAGTCAATATTTATTTTCTAATTAATCCATGTGCTTCCTGTTGTCATCAGTTCTCTTCCTGGGACTCTGCCACAGCCTCCCGCTGACCTTTGACCTGCAGCTGGCAGCAGGAGGGGTGTTTGTGGGTGAGTCTCTCTCTCTCACACACATACACACACTCCTACATTACTAACAGGGGACTATCAGCCATACACTATCCAACAGGGGACTACTA